GACAAGAAAGAAGAACAAGTCTCTGGTCTCGCTACCAGACAAGAAAATGGCTTCCCAATCTGTTCTCCCATATAATGACTTTTGCTCTCTGGTCAAAATTCCCAAAAACCCTTCTCTGCTTTTACGCTCAATTTCATCTCCTTTCCTCCAAAATCCTCTCCCAAAGATTCACAAATTTTCTTCTTCCCGTTCAAATGGCGCCGGTGACGGAGCATCAAGGGTCTTTCCTAAGTCGAATCAGCCGCCGCAATCAAATCGTATCCATGGACGTTAATCAAGAGCTCGAGGAACTCGAAGATTTTCAGAAACACGTAGCTGAGCGTTTCACAGAGTTACTATCTCCGTCTACCACCACCGCATCAGATTCACCGGAATCTGATCCGATTCTCTCGATTCAGTGGCTACGGAAGCTTCTCGATGCTTTCATGTCTTGCGAATCGGAGTTTCAAGCGGTCTTAACCACGAATCCGGCTCAGATCTCGAAACCGCCGTTGGATAAGCTTGTCCCAGAGATGCTTGATCGGATCGTTAAGGCGCTTGATATCTGTACAGCCGTAGTCAACGGCGTTGACTCAGTCAGACAAAGCCAGCGTTTGGCTGAGATTGCCGTTACGGCGTTGAAACAACGGCCGTTAAGTGACGGTAGCGTCAGGAGAGCCAAACGAGCGCTCACAAGCCTCTTAACCGCCTTAAACGCCGATAAAAACATCGGTAGCAGCGGTAGCGGAAGCGGTAGGAGGTCAACGACAACCGAACAGTGGTCGTCGTTTGGCCGGCGTAGCGGTGGAGGAGGAGGAGGGTGTGTGAGCAAGAATTGGTCAGCCGCCAAACAGATTCAAGCAATGACGGCGAATCTCATAGCGCCACGTGGTACAGAGTCCTCGCCGATATATATAATGAGTAGCCTGATGGTAATGGTGATGTGGACGCTAGTTGTGGCGGTTCCTTGTCAGGCAAGTAACGGTCTTGCGGTGTATTTGCCCTTACCGAAGCATCAGGTATGGGCTAGTGCCGCAGTGAGCATCCACGAGATCATCGGAGAAGAGCTGAAACGGAAGGAGAAGCGAGGTGGTGGTGGTGGATTGATGGAGGAGATGCAGAGGATGGAGAGGATTGGCTTAAAGCTAATGGAATTCAGTGAAAGGTTTAGGTTTGATGGGGAGGAGAAAGTGGTGGCGGAAGTGGCGGAGATGGAGGAGATATGCCGGAAAATGGAAGATGGGCTTGAAGGGATACAAAGACGAGTTAGAGAAGTGTTTCATAGGTTGGTGAAAAGCAGAAGTGAGATTCTTGAAATGATTAGTCAGTGTAATACCTAAAAACTTAAAGATAGGGAATATTTTCTGTTTAACTATGTTGTGAAAATCTAATCTTTGATAGAAAGAAGGTTTTGACTATTGATTGTTTTTTCTTCTTTTTCTAAATGATATATTTGATGTATATAAATCTACACTTTGAAAATTACAGATATGTAATATGTATACAATCATGTTCTTTTATACTACTTCCGTTGTAAGTTGTTTTAGCTAAAAGCGTAAATATTAAAAATTTGCTAATCTACTAAAAAAGTATCATTTAATATATTTAATAAAAATACATCAAATATACTAATGGTCACAAAATATTCAATTAAGTTAAAAAGTTCATAAAACTGTCAAAACAACTTATATTTTGAAACAAAAATGAACTTCCAAAATAATTTACATTTTGAGACGGATGGAGTATATATATACTGAGACTGCAAAACTCTACTGTGCTTACACCAAGCCA